CCCCAAAACCCCAAAACCCCAAAACCCCAAAACCCCAAATTAAGGAAGCTATATAGAATTAAAGGTTTTTAAAATATTTAACAGCATGATTAAGAACTTTGAAACCAAACTCAACCACTCCTACGATGATTTACAGCCAAATTTACGAGAGAAAATTGATTTTAGCTCCAAAAAATTATCAAATCCCTGGAAAATAAATTATAAGTAAAGGGGACATCTGTAGAGGAAGTAAGTCTCGTTTCAAATGAACACTTTATGCTAAAAAATTATGATTCTCACTGTTATAGACAAGCCAAAGATCAATCTGCCAAAGCTGCCCCATCAATTAGAGAAGATTAGGAGAGGACTTGGCCCCACAAATATTGTGAAATATTCATATCCAAAGATCAAGACCAGAAATGGAGGTAATTTTTCTTTCCGATAACACATGTATCAGATTTTATTGGTGCAAATAAAGTTACTTTTATTAAAGATTTCCCCTCAAATGAAGATGAAGCAATCACAAATTTCACATATGGAGAAGGGTAAGACCTCACTATAACCTCTATCTAGGGTCTATTATCCTATTGTATCTCCCGTAGACATGGATCGGCATAAGCTAAAGGGTCAAAATAACATGATAAACCTTCCGTTACAGCTTGGGTCATCTAAAAGCCTTGAGACGAGCCAAAAACAAGGGAGGCTCCTAATTAATAAAACTGGTACTCGTCTTCGGCTTGGCTTGTACGCGACCCCAAGATGCTTCCAAAGAAGACCCAAGAAAATGGAGAGCGATAGCCGCATCTAATGTAATGAACATTAAAGATACTGAAATTTACACGCCTGGTAAACAATTCGTGCAGCTAATCCCAATAGGAAAAATAGCAAAACTCAAATCCCAAAGGATCTCACGAAATAATCAAGAAAGAGTCAATGAGATAGTCAATAGAACTTTAGAAGACTCACTCAAAAGCCAGCTTGAGTGAAAGACTGCTAAATGGAACACAGAAACCAAACTAAAGAAGAAAAGTAAGTGCCTGACCTGGGATAAATCTCTTAATTGCTATCAAACTTCTGTTTAAAATTATAACTTTTAGGAAAATGGATACCTCCAAAGACTATCTGGGAGAACATCGATTTTCTGGAGAACTGTTCAAAGAATTTGTGATATAGACACGCCTCTAAGTAGACTCATTGATTATAAAATAGCTGTAAAACAACACCCCTTTCTCAGGAAGAGGAAGAATTAAAGTTGAAGGATAAAACTTTTCAAAAGTACTTTTTCAGGTAACTAAATATAATTCGTTTAATTTATTTGCAGATAATTTGATTGGACAAGTATTGATCATACTTCCGGCTTCTTTCTTGTGAATTTTTAATGCAAATTTGATAATGTTACTAATTACACCAACTTTCTGATAGCAAAGGTATAAAAAAGCTTCTAAAATTATTCTTACGGTTCTTTTACGTAAAACTTATATAGGAATGACAAAATCAAAAACTTTTTGCAAGATATGAAAACTAAAGTAGCCCAGAGAAACTTTCCTCCCCAATCACCAACATACTAAGAGACAGCATCAATACATCTTCCACCCATCTATGCCATCATATACTCCAATGAAAACTCAATCCTCCTTCTCTTAATAAACCCAAAAAATTCCAAACATGTCAATTTCAAAACTTAACTCCTAGATTCAATAATTTCTGCTCAAAAAGGGGTTTTGGGGTTTTGGGGTTTTGGGG